TTAGGATTGCTTCAGTTCTCAGTTAAGCCTGTTTCGCTCCATGCGCCGGTCTCTCCCACTCCTGTAATTACAGTCATTGTGTATCAAATGAAACCCCACACAGAGCTGATCTCCAACTCTGAGATTGATAGATGATTGGTAGAGAGTTCACACGAATGGAAGTACCACTTTACATCATTTTTTTTTTTTATTTCACTTCATTCTTCTTTCCCTTATTTCTTTTTTCAACTGTTTAATACTTTTTTTGTCCCTTGTCACTGTTTTCCTTGTGGATGCCCATTTGTTTTTTCATCTATGTGCTATCTCAACCATCCTGTCAACTCTCTGCACTTCTTTTTTGTTTTACTTCCAGTAAACATATATTTTGCAGAGTAAATGCAAATAAATAGAATACAATCCCCAGCATTTTTTGACAAAATGTATATTGCCTGCTGAAAAGACTTCAGTTTAAATAATTTGTGATGTAGACTGAATAGTGGTTTTATTCAAATCAGTCCACTCCAACACCACATTGTAGCTCAATATCTGTGAAATTGTCTGTTATAGCATTTTTGTTTTTTATAAGTCGTGCTGAATTGGGTTGACTAACATGTAATCAGTTGTAGAATTTCACCTGAGGATTGTTTTCTGACTGTTCCATTAAAATCTTGTCAAGGTTCCATTACATAATGTGTTGTTGATGGACACAGACTCCCACAGTTAATGACAAAGATTTAAAACCAAACATTGCTCAATCAAATCATATCGGGGATGACTCTTAAATTTGAGTTAACATTTGTCAAATTATTTGAGTCATAAACAGTTTGTGTTTGTCAAGTGTGCTTAGCTGTGGTGGCCACTTTGAAAGGGATAGGCTCCTAATTTAATCAGTTGTAAATGCACATCCATTGAATACTTTTCTGAGAATTTCCTTCCCATCTGTCCTCTGGTTCATGATATACAGCTTTGCCAGTGAGCAATATCAAAAGCATAAGACAATCAAGCCTTCACTGTAGCTGATAAGCAGTGACAAGTCACTATTTATCTGACTGATCTACTGACGGTACATATATTTAAAGTGGCAACCCATCATTAGCGCTTTGTGTGAGGCTGTTTTTGTACAATAGGCTTCTAATAGTCAACATGGTTGGAGACAAGTACTCGTCTCTATTAGGGATGATCTCACATTCCTCGTGCACTATTTCTCTCGCACAGAGACATGTGGAAAAAAACTCCCATTATAGCTTGGCCATGCTCTCCAATGGACACAAACATGCACACACTGAAAGAGAGACAGCCACATGCACACAGATGTCGACAGGCAACTATATTTATACCAACACTCCAATAAATCTATCTGCTCTCTTGTCTATTTTTTCTGGATTTGTCTATGCAACACTGAAGGTCTGCACAGGTTAAAGCCCAGAAAAGTGGAAAGTAGAGGCCAGAGAAGGTTGAGGGGCGAGGAGGAGTTAAGTGCCCCATGGCATTAGGCTCCTCCTTGGTTTCTTATGTTAAAACACAACCTCTGGCCCAAGTGCGACACACCACCGTGTAAGAAATTCCTGAAAAAATAAAAAACTTGTGTCAACTTGTGTAGCTTGAACTAATGCAGGCTGCTGCCCCATCTCATCCCCTCACTGCAACATCTTGTCATTAAAATGTTCATTTTTTTCAACATAACTACTTTCAAGCAATATATTTTCTTGCTGGGTGGCTCAATGGCTTCACTCATGATGCAGGTGCAAAAAGGGACCTAGCTTGATAAAAACATGAAAAGAACCTTTGACTTATCTTTGGATTCTAACAGTATGTATCTTTTAATCTACCGGTAAATATTTTCACCACAGGACTTTAGGTTTGTAACAAATATATGCATCAAACCAATCCAGCATTTTTAAACACTGTACAACTTTTGTCTGGAACATTTTTGTGCAAAACCAAAATTAATTCTTGCTTTTTGCCTCTTCTTTTTTAAAAAGTAGTAACATTTGTGCATGCTGCAAACAACAGCTACTGTTATCATCTTCACGCTGGAAGAATTGTAACATTAGTAAATTTGTAGAATTTCCTTATATGTATGCATGTGTATACATACACACATAACGTACATACATACATACATACATACATACATACATACATACATACTGTTTATAGTATTCTACACCGCCTAGCTGTTTTTTACTACGTTTCTTTTCCTTTTAATTATCATCCATCCATCCATTATCTTTTACCCGCTTCTTCCATTTTTGGTCACGGGGGTCGCTGGTGCCCATGTCCAGCAATTACCATGCAAGGTGCAGGGTACACCCTGGATGGACCGCAAGTCCATCACAGAGACAAACGAGACAACCAACCATTCACTCTCTCACTCACACCTAGGGACAATTTAGAGTTACCAGTCAACCTAACATGCATGTTTTTGTTCTGTGGGAGGAAACCGGAGAAAACCCATGCATGCACGGAGAGAACATGCAAACTCCACCCAGAAAGGTCCCCGGACTGGGATTGGAACCGGAGACCTTCTCGCTGAGAGGCAACAGCTTTACCAGTTGTGCCACCGTGCTGCCTAATTATAAAGAAAATAAAAATAAAATAAATTTGTATGAATTATTTGTGAATGTTTATTGTTGTTGTTATCAACTGTTGTCATCACTCTGTTAAAATCCAGGTCTCTTTTTAAATGAGTCCTCGTGGCTCAAAGGGACTAACCTGTTTAAAGGTTGAATGACTACTGTACACACATACACACATACATACATACATACATACATACATACATACACACATACACGCATACACGCATACATACATACATACATACATACATACATACAAGGACATTTTATAACAACATAACTAGTAGTCAGTAACAGTTGTCATTTGATTTTGGCCCTTGATGTTGTCATACAGATAATAACCAGATATGAGTCGTTATACATACGGATCAGACAGAGCTGACTGAAATGTTGATGACAAGATAAGAAACCAGTTGAACATGTGAGCAAACACAAAACCACTTTATAAAGCAAGTAGAAGCAATAATCTTATAACTCAGTATACATCTTGTACATTGACGGGAAATAAAACTTAAAGTGTTAAAATAATAGCTTAATGGGACATATAACTTGAAAATGAATATCTATTAAAAATATTTTGACTGTTCTGTTCAGAGACAAAGATTTGCTGAGAAGTGTGCTTTAATACCCAGATTGAGCGCATGGATACAAAGTAAATAAATGTCAACTGACAAGTATGATAATAACTGGCCAACCTGCACATAGTTAAGCATACTTATTCAACCACATTGAATGTTATCAGCCCATTAAATGGCCGTTATTAGTTGTTATCATCCCCATAGGTTGCCTTCAGACTGTCCCTCCTGTACCTCCTAGTAGGTTTAAAGGTACGTTCTTATCACTGATAATATGCAGCTTTGGGTGCGTCTGTATCCAGAATCTTGTTGTTTCGTTAACTTTATTTAAAACCTTAATTTACTTTTAAGCCTAATATCAAGGATTTACTTAAAATGAATTACCAATTTAATAGTCATGAGGCTTTAATTCGGCATCTAAAATAAACTCAATTAAGAGAGGATATGACCTAACCCTAACCTTCTTATTCTGTGGTAACCTACTGAGCCCGCTAGGAGGGACTGTCTGAAGGCAACCTATGGGGATGATAACAACTAATAACGGCCGTTTAATGGGCTGATAACATTCTAAGTGGGTGCTTTATTTTACTCACACACTCACACACGTACACACACATACAATAAGCACTTGTATCCATTTAAAATATCCAAAGTGCATTCCTGTATTAGCCCTATATATCAGAATAGATTAACAAAATATATCACATATATATATTTTCTTGACATCAACAAAATGTTGGAGACATAAATGTTCCTCCTATGGCTGAAGAGAAATGTGCCAGTCCCAGATGGTTTTCTCTGCCAAGCTGTTCGGGCAGAAGTCAACGGTCCAAGTGCTTCTGAGTGCGATGGAAGTGAGTAGTCTTGTCATCATACTTTTACATGATTTCGAGTATTTGCTAACAGGCCAAGTCAACGCCTGTAATGAGCTGAGTTGACAGTTTGCTTCAAAATTAATGCAACAGTACACCTGTTTTTGTGCATGATGACCATGTAGTAGAAAACAGTATAAAAAGAACTAAATATATTTTAATTAGGAGTACTCAGCTGAAGCTTTATGCTGTGGCAAATGTAACAAAGACAAATATTTCACAAACGTTTTAAAGATTTGGATACAATAACAATGTAGTATTGTTTTTGTTTTGTAAATTGGTGACAAATGACCAAAAATTGAACTACACTGTTAGATACCAATAACTACACGAACACATGTGAAAGTAAAAAAGAAAGTGTTAGAATGTGGACCATAGTGCGATCTTTATTATCATACAGCATATTGTAGATGTAAAACAATGTCTTTAAAGAACTTTAAATAAGAGACAGTTTAAAAAAATACTATATCTTTATAAGGTTTTATTATACCCACTGTGGCCCTTGTCATGAAATCACGTTCGTCTGGTGGATCACTATACTGACCTGCCAGTATCTTTGGTTTTAGACCAACACAAAACACTGCCATCACAGTAATCTGGCTGTAGATACAAACTAGACTAGAATATTCTCTTTGCATAAAGCCAATAGCATAAAAATACAAAAAAAAATAAAATAAAAACAAAACAACTGAACGCCTATTCTTTTGTTGAAGACATTTTGACTTCTTTTTGGATTATCTTAATCCATATAATGGAACGTTCTTTGGTCCTTTGTTGTGAGCAAGGAAAGGAAAAACGGTGGTTCAGAAGAGGAACGTCTTTGGCTAAATGTTTAAACCTCATAGCAACATTAAATGCAATGTTTTGGGTGTTGTGCAACTAATAAAACAACAAAGCTTGAAATCATTTCCTTCTTTCACACCAGCAAGACTAAAGCAATGACCTAAAAAGCAACAAAATAAAGTAATGTGATTACTCTTAAACCCAGTTCATCAGTGACACAGACTAAGCTCTTTTCGCACCAGGCACTTTTTGCACTGAACAACGCAACACCAATGGAAACGACACAAGCAGTTCTCCTCGAACACCACCGTCTCTTCCCTGTAGCCTCGCTCGCAGCACAACAAATCACAGCCGCTGATGTCCATGGCCGTGCTGTTGCACATGCGGCCCCGCGTTCCCAGGGAGCCCGTTTTTCGATTCGGGAGGCAAAAATCTGGAGACTCGTCTGAGTAGATCAAATCCTGTCTGTCTGGGGGCTTTATGTTCTGGCCCACGGGGATCAGGGTCTTCCCATCGTTGCCACCCATCACCTTGGAAGCACCGTTGAACCGGTCCAGCAGGCGGTCGCCCACCTCACGGAAATGAGGCATCTTTTTCCAGCACGTACGCAATGTGCACGAGCCCGACAGCCCATGGCACTTGCACTCAGTCCTCATGTACAGCTTCACTGCCTAACAGTGGAAAATTTAGAAAAGGAGGGGTTGGTGGTAGAGAGGGAAGAGAGGGAGGTGAAAGAGGTCAACGAGGGCAAAAAAAAAAAAAAAAATAGAAAAGATTAAACATAAAAATCTCAACTTTTACCAAAGTGAAGCAAGAAGGATTTTAAAAAATGACAAGTAAACTAAAGAACAATAACAGTATTGTGCACTCATAATACTTTACAGACAAAGTCAGTGTATCACACACATGTATCCCTCTTTACACTCACACACACAAACACTAACTGATAGATAGGTAAGATAAAAGCAGATGCTATTTCGAAGGAATTTTCCCCCAACCCCCCTTTCCATCCATGTTGCCTCTGGCCTTCCTACATCTAACAAGCCTTGACAACAGATCATTCACTTATACTGCACATAATTAACCCATCACACACAAACACACACTCACCTGTCCATCTTAGACAGACACACAAACGAGCAAAACAGGCAAAGGAGTACACATGCATGCGTGCACGCAAACAGAAACACGAGCACATCACAGATGACTATTTCTCAGCCTCTAGGAGTTTGTAAGCTGCTTTTTTTTTTTTTTGGTGTTCAAAATCATTGGTCACTAATGCTACAATTGGACTACATCCCAAAAATCCTCCTCTCATCCACCTTCCTTTGACCTGAGCTAAAATGAACTTAATAACTGATTGTGGTTGTTGTGCAACAGCTCTCAAAGTCAACAGTAACAAGTTTAGACAGAAAAAAAACATATATTTGAAGAAAATTAGAGGTGATTTGATGATCTTTGTTTTTTTTATGATATCCTAAACAATATGCATTAATTGTTTCCAGCATTCACTGACCTTTGGCAACAAAAATGAGGTTAAAACCCCTTTAAAAGACTGTGCAGAAAGTTAAAAATGACCTGCCTTGAAGGCTTTAAAAACAAAACATGCTCTTTTTCTTTCCTTTAAGAAAGCTCATTCTTGAAAGACTATCAGTTTACGGTACTGCACATATTTAGCTAAAGGCAACATCTTGCTTTTTTTTTCTATGTTGATGGAATGAAGGAATAGTTCCAAAAATACAAGCAACAACTTTCAAACATACAAGCTGGAACACAGTTGGGGGGGAAAAAATACTTTTTTTGTTGTTATTTAATTTTAAACGTACTCGTACACGTAGCAAAGTATGAAATCAAACATTAAAAAAAATATATCAAATGATGCAGCTTGAACAAGTTTCATGCAGTAGGTTTCCAAATATATTGAATGCATTTCTGAATGAGGGTCCACGCTCAGTGTAAACAAGGCACTCGGCTGAATCCACCAAAGACCACACAGGAGTTTGAGTCACATGATTGACCTACAGTAGCTTGGCCTTAGTCAGTGTAGGTAAAACAAATAGGGTAGGCAAACGATTAATTTTTGAAAAGATGTTTAGGTGGAAATAAAAGAAAAAATCTGCTGGTAAATGCAAAAACAAGAGATCAAGTAAGATAAATGTCAATAATAAAACATTGGAGCTCAATAAATAAAGGCAGTCAGCTTCAAACACATGTGGCTTCTGCTAGACCAGTAGGTTTATCGTTGGACCTCTTCAGTCACATATTGCTCCCTTCATAATTAAACAAATGCACAAGGTACAAGTTAGTATCACTTTTTTTTTTTATTCTTTTTTTTCCAACTTTCGGCTGCTCCTTGCATTAGGGGTCACCACAGTTAACTAAGTCGCACAAAGACTTGGAACTTATTATTATTATTAATAATATTTTATTTATTATTTTTTTGCCAGATGCCCTTCCTGACACAACAACAGACCACTGAGCTACCGCAGCCCTCTGTGTGGAGCAGAGAGCTGCGATCTAGGGCACCCGGAGGAGCAGATGGTGGGGGTTAAGGGTTTTGCTCAAGGACCCAGAGTGCGGCAAATGAGGGTGGAGGCAGGTGTGGGCGCTTCACCTCTCCCACCCACATTTTTGATGTTGTCGGTACCGGGAGTTGAACCGATGATCTTCCAGTCACAGGCCAACATTCTTTATCCTCTGCGCCACCACTCCCACATATTTTATTTATTTTTTATTTAATTTGTGGCGCTATTAACCAGATATGGTCAAAACTTAACGTGTGCCTATATTTATTCAAAGACAAAAAAAGCAAACAAACAAAACAACCAGACTTTATTTCACTTCATTATTTATTCTCTAGTTGGAGATAACCCCCACCCCCGAAAGCTTTATCAGTTCAGAACTGGAGTGTGCAGTTCAGACGTTAAAACTGTATAAAATATGTTTGTTTACTTTATGGATAGTTTTATCTGCCCTTTATGACTTTGCAATGAGTACATTTAAAGGTAAAAAGAAACGTAGGAATTGTTTCTTACCAGCCTTCCCGCCTCATTATTGTGAAGGTTAATGAGTGTCCTTATGTCACTTCTGCCTCTTCTCTTCTTGGCATCCATAAACTGTTTGGACTTTTCATAACCAAATTCCACATCGTCTCCACAACCTCCCCACTCCCATTTAACTCCATCCCCAGGAGAAGATGAAGAAGGTGGCCTGGGAGGCGCTTTGTTTCTGGTTGCTTCACAGCCACACTGCAGGAGGTCTCCCATACTGCAGGCCTGGGTCACAGCATGTGTCACACCAGCTGCTGTGATAGCATAGACGAATGCTGTTTCCCGAATATCTGCAGTAAGAAGGACAATGGACAGAACATTAACCAAATATTAAAGTCAATACAAATTTTATATATGTATTTTTTGTGCTGTTTATATATATATATATATATAAATTTATGTGTATATGTGTAAATGCATGTGTGTATGCATATACATATGTGTACAAGTTAATTTGTACTGTTAAATAAACACTGTGACAATGTGCTACAGTTTTTGAAACATCATTTTAAAGATAGGTTAAACTAAGATAACCATAAAATTCCATATTAATGCCAAATTAAAGTTATACTAACCAGCCCCAAGGCTAAGCAATCTGTTATCGTCAGCATAGTTTAAAAAGCCACTGGGTCTTCCTAATATACCAGATAATACTTTTTTTTTGTATTATCTCCTGCCAAAATAATAATAATAATAATCAAAATCAGCAGAACATAGTAAACAAAATTAATCTGTTCCAAAAATGTACTTTCAGAAATTACACAACAATCCCAAGTTGCTAACTCACATAACTAAATGCATGTTTTTACTGAATTTCATATAAAAAAAATGTAATTTGTCTTTGTATTAATCCAGTGAGTCGCTTTGGAACAAGATAAAAGCACTTTGTTTTAAATCCTGATCTGTAACTACAACCCTGAGCATCACTGGATTTGGGGTGCTGAGAGGGCAGCTGTTTCTTTCTAATGCACACACTTTCAAACACTTGCACTTTCATGCACACCACAGCTGGTGGTTTATTTTGGGTGTGGAGCTTAACACTCTCTGCTGAAGGAATGTCCAACTATAACTGCAAATTGATCGTGTGTCTACCACAGTGGATTCAGGATTACTTTCTTCCACAGTCATTATCTACAGTCATTGTAGCTATTTTTAGTCACTTGACAACAGAATAACAACTAAGATAGCATGACACAAAGGCCTATTATTGTAATTGCTGCTATGATATAAAAAGGTGGGGACACGGGCACAAAGTTTATACAACATTTTTATTTTTGCAGGGTTTTTTGCAGTAAGCAATAACTTTTTTCCAATGGATGTTGTCTCTTTTACCCCTCCCCAAACCAGAAAAAAACTTTAGTCTACAACTTGACAATGCATCGCCAGTATGCTTGTATGCTTTCTATTGTTCTTTATCCTGTTGCATCTATTATTTTTGTTTCTGCTGTACATGTGAAATTGTCACCAGAATCTTGTTTGACCATTTTAAGTCATGCAAGGTGAAATGATTGGTGCTCGAGCCTGAACAATAGGCAGAATTCAGACTTTTAAATAAGCATTTAGAAGCATGCATAGAAATAATGTCACAATCGTGTAAAACATACAGAGAAAAAAAAAGGGTTATCTTCATGCTGGGTGCACAAAACCCCAACAACATTTAATTAACAGAAAAAAGAAAAACAAAAAACAAAACAAAACTATAGATGTAAAATCAAAACATTAATGACCAGCTTTCGGTTAATAAAGATCAGAGTCATAAAGATTTATTTGTCATTCGCATCTCATGTGGTACATCAGAGTCAGAGTTTCTTTATTGTCATTCGCACCACATGTGGTACATGTGGTGGAACGAGATTATGTACAAAGGGTCCCAGTTACATTCCACAATAAAATGTAAAAGTAAAACAGTAATAAGATCCAAGATATGAACTAAGAAAAACATCAACTAAATAATACACTAAGCACTAATAGCATAAAAACATTACGTCAAACAGCAGCATGAACATGAGTCTGTGTGAGCAGATGAGCACGCATGAACACAGCAACATGAAACAGATCAGCAGCAACATGATGTGATTTTTCACAGTGATCACTCTGGTTAGAGATTCATGAGTCTAAAAGCCTCAGAGTAGAAGCTGTTCCTCAGTCTAGGGGTTCTACACTTAATGCTTCTCAACCTCCTTCCTGAGGGGAGCAGGGCAAAAAGTGTGTGTGCTGGGTGAGTGAGGTCCTTCATGATGCAGGTGGCCCTCTTCCTGCATCTGGAGGTGTAGATGTCTGTGATGGTGGGGAGGCTGACTCCAACAGTCTTCTGTGCAGCCTTCACCACTCTCTGCAAAGCTTTTCTTTCTGCAGCTGTGCAGCCTCCATACCACACGTTGATGCTGGAGCACAGGATGCTCTCCACTGCACACCTGTAGAAGGAGGTGAGGACTGAGCTTCCCAGACCAGCTCGCCTCAGCCGCCTGAGGAAGTAGAGTCTCTGATGAGCTTTCTTGATCAGGCTGGTGGTGTTGTTGCTCCAGCTGAGGTTGCCATTCATGTGTACACCCAAGTACTTGTAGCTGGAAACCACTTCCATCACAGATCCTCTTACGTTCAGTGGGTTGTAGGTGTGTTTGTTCCTTCTGAAGTCTACAATAATCTCCTTTGTCTTCTTCACATTGATGTGAAGGTTATTCTCTTTGCACCAGCTCTCCAGGTGTTCCACCTCTTGCCTGTAGCTGGACTCATCGTTGTTTATGATGCATCCCACCACTGCTGTATCATCTGCAAACTTTACAATAAGACAGCCTGGAAGAGTGGGTGCACAATCATATGTGAGCAGAGTGAACAGGAGAGGTCTCCGCACACATCCCTGAGGGGAGCCAATGCTGAGGGTGAGAGCAGTGTGGACCACAGAGGAGATGGCTTCCTCTGTTGATTGGTTCTCATGGTATGCGTACTGATGAGGGTCCTCGTTGATGTTGATGGTTGTTTTGATGTGAGTCATGAGCAGTTTTTCTAAGCATTTAGCGACTATCGGCGTGAGGGCCACTGGCCGATAGTCATTCAGACCAGTCGCTGTAGAGCTCTTTGGGACTGGGATGATGGTGGCAATTTTCAGGCAGGTGGGAACTGTCGCCAGGGTTAGTGAGGAGTTAAAGATGTCGGCCAGCACTCGCTCTGGTCTTAATCAAAACTAACTTTTCAAAAGAATTAAAGAGAAAATTTGATGTTACCTGGACCCTTGAAAATGACTGGATAGATGCTTGGTTAAAAGTTGGTACATGGGACAAAAAGGGAGTTTTAAAGACAAATAAACATTATTTCAACTAAATACTATCTCCTTTTTGATGCAGTATGATTTTTTTATGGGCTTAGAGTTATACAAACTAATAAGTCATATAGTCTGGTGTGTGAAAATAAAGTGAATACACAGTCACACAGAAAGAATGGGTGGTGTGCACTGAAACCTGCACACGGCAGCATGCCGTGATATCAATCCCAGCTGTACACCCTGACACCCTGAAATGCTCCCATAGTAAGAAAATCTGTGTTTGTGTGCGTGTGTGTTAAATGTGTATACTATTGAAATGAAGTATTCGAAATAACGCATTTAACGTTTTATAACTCATCATCTGAACTAATATTTATATGGATGTTCTTGTTTTTAATCTCTTGGTTTAGTTTTACTTGGGGTTGGCCATGACTCATGCACGGTTTAGGAAATCATAGACTTTTATCTGTATGCATAACATTACCCCTGCATGATGGGACATATTTCACAGTTCTGCATCAGTTAAAGCGTGTTGTTCTGCACATATGAAGAAGTTACAGCTGAAATAAATCACACCAAAGTCTTCTTGCTGTACAGCAAAATGGGACGTACATGATGAGGCACCAGATTTTCAAACCCAAATATGTTTTCTTAGAAATGATCCTTCATCTATTGAGAGACATGTTTGTAAATCATCAGAACTCATTGTTAGCACAATATGGTGATAGTAACCACAAAACCCCAAAAGTAACCCCTTTTAACCTTTTATTATTTTTTTATATTTTATCCCCCACAATAAAAATGTTACTAGAATTTCTTCTACCTGCGTACTATCTCTAAAATTAGAAACTTCTTATTTAAAAATGATGCATTAAAACTGGTTCATGCATTTGTCATGTCCAGACTGGACTATTGCAACGGTTTATTTCCTGGGTGTCCTAAAACTTATTTAAAAGTCTTCAGTTAATCCAAAATGTTGCTGCCAGAGTCTTAACTGGAGTCAGTAGGAGAGATCATATCTCTCCAGTTTTAGCTTCTCTCCATTGGCTCCCTGTCGAGTCCAGAATTGAATTCAAAATCTTACTTCTCACTTACAAAGCTCTCAACAACCTAGCTCCATCTTATAGTACATATTTCATTGTTCCATATTTTCCTAACAGAGCACTTCGCTCTCAGACTGCAGGTTTACTCACGGTTCCTAGAGTTTCAAAAGCAGAATGGGAGGAAGATCTTTCAGTTATCAGGCTCATCTCTTGTAGAACCAACTTCCAGTTTCTGTCCATAAGGCTGACACATTGTCCAGTTTAAGACTGGGCATACGACTTTCCTTTTTGATAAATTCTATAGTTAGTGTTGGCTTGTTATGCTGCTATAGGTTTAGACGAGGACATATTGACCAAATTTCTTAAAATGAATTGTTACAATTAATTTGTTTTCATTTGAAATTACTTTGATCTTAACATGTGATTCTTGACCTACCATTGTGTATCTGTTCCTCCTTCCTGTTTATCTCAAACCCAACCAGTCAATGGAGATGACCACTTGTCCTGAGCCTGGTTCTGCTAAAGGTTTTTTCCTCATGAGGGAGCTTTTCCTTTCCACTGTCGCCTTCATGCTTGCTCATGATGAGAGTTCTGCGATGATGTTAAATTCAAAACAGTCCGCTCCTCAGATAAATACTTTGTAATTTTATTAACTTACTTTTTATATATACGGTATAAATGTTTCTGTTCAGTGCCCTTCTGTTGTGACTTGGCTCTATATAAATAAACTGAATTGAATTTAATTGAAAAAGTAGATTGTTATCCTCAATGCACTGTTGAAGCGCTGTATTATTATATAATGGTAACAAGTTTACAAGCGTGATTGATGATGCATGTTTTAGTTTTGACAAAAATGTTATTTGAGGCATTTTTTTCGCACAATTGCATTAAAGTTCGGTGTAGTTTGTTTTAAATATTATGAAGAAAGTTTTATAAACCTGTATGAGAGCTATAAAAACAGCTAAAAGTAAGCAAAGACAACAATAAA